CCATTGCTGACGAAGTACATGATGAAATGGCTGCACAATCCCTTTTCAAAGGAAGTGCACAAAACATGGGAAGGGTCGGATCCAAATTCAAAAAGAAGAAGAAGAAGAAGAGATTGGATTTATACCTTCACTACCCGAAGGAGTCTCAGAGCGGCTTACAGACTCCTTTCCCTTCCCCTCCCCACAACAGACACCCTGTGAGGTAGGTGGGGCTGAGAGGACTCTGACAGAAACTGCTCGTGAGAGAACAGCTCTGAGAGAACTATGGCTTGCCCAAGGTCATCCAGCCAGGTGCAAGTTGAGGGGTGAGGAATCAAACCCAGTTCTCCCAGATTAGAGTCGCCTCACTTAACCACTATGCCAAACTGGCTCTCCTTTTTGTGGAAGGGTTGCCGCAGAGTCGGAACATCCGCTGGGGATTCAATTCGCTGGAAAACAGCGGCTACACTGAGGTGTAGAAAAGGTCTCTCCAGCTGCACTAAAGGGGAAACCTACTTCTGGGTAGCTGGTCTCAGATGCTGGATATGCCCCCCCCCCCCGGTCTTCTGCACAGTTATCACTAAACCACAGATTCCTTTTCCAGCATCCTCTGCCCGTTGTAATAATGCCTAGTTCTCTAGTGGGGCATAACGGGCCTGTATTTTCTGTAGTTCTACAAAAATAAGACTCTTCTGTGAAAAGGGGGGGGGAAAGGAGGAGACTAATTTGGATTACTAATGACTGGAAAATTGATTTAAATTCTTTTTTGCCTAAGTAAAGAGGACATCTGCACAGGGCATTTTCGGGGATTAGCCTGGCACTGTTCTGGTTCTCTAGCCATCTGCACTGTGGGTGGCACAATGCAGATGGCACAGTTTGGACAACTGGAGAAGAATGACTGGTCCCTGGTTTTCATATGCAAAGCAGGTCATCGTGTTTGTGTGTGTGTTTGTGGGGGCACTTTTTGAATTTGCAATGTGGTGCTAAACTATGGAAAAAGGGGAAGATTTCCACAGACCTGAGTGGCAAATTTCGCACCGAAGCACTGCTCAGTCTCACTGGTGGATAAACGAACTTTTTGTTTCTTTTGCCACATTTTTGTAGCATTGTTCTCTCCCCCCCCCCTAAGATGGCCTTGTTGATGTAGGTAGAGTTTACATCTCCTTTTAACCTTCCAGCAATGCTGGCAGGCCGGCCGGCCGGAGACAGCTCCTGTTTTTCATGGGTTGGATTCAGCCAGCTTCTTAAAAATGAGCGGAGAGGCTTCCTCTGACCAGCCCAATAATGCTACCCTGGGGATCACACCCACCATGTCCATTTAAAAGGACCAAGCTGTAGGTGATCTGATAGACCTCCCCCTGAGTCCCTGGAGAGCCGCTGCCCGTCTGAGTAGACAGTACTGACCTCGATGGACCAGGGGTCTGATTCAGTATAAGGCAGCTTCATGTGACTATAAATAAACTAAATGAATAAATGTTATACCTCCTTTAAAGAAGGCAAATTTTGTGCTTTGACGGGCCCCGTCCCCCGACGCGGGGGAATCAGGCCCGGGGGGGGCCCCCGCCCCAGCATGCACGTCACAGGGAAGTGACGTTATGACACTGGGCATGCTGGGGGCGGGGCCACGGCCATACAAGGGAAAACTCCGGGGACGCACCAGGAGCCACACAGGAGTCCCCCGCCGGCAAGGTAGGTAACACTTGGCAACCCTAATGAGCCTGCATGGACAGAAGTCCTGCTTGAACCACAAGGAAAGGCAGGGTATACATGTTTTAACTAATTAATTAATTAATTGTCATGTTGGCATGGGGGATGTGGTACAGAGGGGCATTGGGCAGGACTGAGCGGAAAAGCTTACTTGGGCTTGGTGTGATATAGCGACACCTCAAATCGTGCCAGTTCAAAGTGTAGTGGGGGATTCCATCCAGACCGCACACCCTGTGGTGGGTTACCCGCAGAGCTGTCCCATGGGGCATCCACACTGCCCTTCAACCACAGGGCGAGCTGTAAGGGTGGGTTTTATTTAAATGCAGGCAGATGGATGCACATATGAGCATGAGCGCATATGGGCAGCAACTAACCTCCCCAGTGGCAGAAATGGATATGCAAGTTCAGACGTCCTCCCTTCTCGGTTCCTCTCGCTGTAGGAGAGTTCAGATGTTGGAAAACCCAGAGGGAACCGTGAACAATCCGTTCATACCAGACTTTCCCCGGTATCTGCTTATTCTGCTTCCCTTGCGGAACGGCACGGGCGGCCGACGACTGCGCGATGGGAGGCAGACATCCTCATCTGGAGGGACCCATTTATTCCACTCAGGTAACACCACTATCACCACAAACTGCACATGTGACTACAGCCTTGGTCTAGCAAACGACAATCAATATAGTTGTTTCTTTACTCCACCCTCTCATTGGTTCTCCCTCCTTCCCTCATCCTCTGTCTGTTCTTGTTTCTGACCCACCTCCTTCTGTTTGTGGCACTGGCCTCCTGGCCAAAGTAATAACAAGAACCAATACATGGAAACATGTGCATTTTCCATATAGCAGAGTCTTTTTGATGTTATTTACCTCGGAACTTTATGAATATTTGTCTTATGGCATATTATAATCAGGTAATTTTCATATATATTTTTAGATCTTTGAGAATTTTTGGATTATCTTAAGGTGTTTAGTAATCTTTGTTTACATCCAGTCTCTACTGAAGAAGACTTTCGGAATGAAGTTTTGAATATCTGGAGCCTTCGTTACCTAAACTGAATTTACCTGTTGAACACCTATATTGAACTTACCTGTTGGATTACTGAATTTACCTGTTGATTTGTTTCACTGAATTTTTCCTGTATTGTTGCTTTGTTTCAGTCGCTTGTTATACTGTATTTATCTGACCACACTTACCTGTTATATTGTGTGGAATATAATTTATAACACATAATTTGTATTGCGAAATTGTTTTTTTATTTAGCCTTTGCTTCTTTAGCATCCCTCTCACACAGTTATTTTCTTGTTACTAGCCTTCTGGCCCCATTTTGGATTGCTTTTGCACCCAGAAGTGGTGTTTTCTGGGTTTTTTCTTTTTCTTTTTTGCATGCACACATGTTGTTTTTACCGTTCTGGGTTTCCTTCACCTCACCATTTCTAAACTTTCTGTATTTTTGCTAAATGTCTACCATAGTCTGTGTGACCTTCCTTTGGCTATTAGCTATAAGCTCCTGCCAACCTAGCAGTTCGAAAGCAAGAAATTGCAAGTAGATAAATAGGTACCCCTTCGGTGGGAAGGTAACAGCGTTCCGTGCGCCTTGGTGTTTAGTCATGCCGGCCACATGACCACGGAAACGTCTCCGGACAGCGCTGGCTCTTCGGCTTGGAAACGGAGATGAGCACCGCAACCCTAGAGTCGGACTCGACTGGCTTTCGCGCAAGGAGGAACCTTTACCTTTATGTTGTTTTTACTGTTCTGGGTTTCCTTCACCTCACTTTTTGTATTTTTGCTAAATGTCTACCATAGTCTGTGTGACCTTCCTTTGGCTATTAGCTATAAAACACATCAGATTAAAAAAAAATCAAATTCCTTTCACTTAAAGATATAAACGTTATCTTAAATATAGCTTGCCAGATGAATAGGCTAAAAAGAGAGACTGATTAAAGACAAAATCTCAGTATCTGTCTTCTTTTTTACTTTGGTTCCCAGAAATTTGCATACAGTTAATATGTACTCTGGCTGATTTCACACTAGAGCTGCCTCAATGTTGCGTCGCCGTTTGCCCCAATACTATTGGTCAATTTCAACTCGCAGTTAACTCAATTCCCAAATACTTTGTCTTTTTCACAACCTCGCATTGCACCAGTTCTTGCAGTTCCATTTGTTTCTTTTTGATCATATTTTTACATAATAACTTGGTTTTATTTTTATTCACATAAAACCCTGCCTTTTCACCAAAGTCATTTATTTTTTGGAATAATAACGGTAACTCTTCAGTCGGATTTTCCACTATGAACATCACATCGTCTGCGAATGCTCTATATTTGTATTTGTAGCCTTTATGATTCAATCCTTTAATTTCTCCATCTTCCTGAATTTTCTTCAGTAGTACTTCCAAGACCCAGATGAATAACAATGGTGAGAGTGGGCAGCCTTGTCTGGTCCCCTTTTGTACTTGAAAGTGATCTGTTAATTCTTTGTTTACATTCAATTTTGCTTTTTGTTCTGAATAGATCGCTTCAATAATGTTGGTAAAGTGTTGCCCAACTTCGATTTTATTCATCAATTGAAGCATAAAGTCCCAATTTAAATTGTCAAATGCTTTTTCGGCATCCACAAACAAAAAGGCCACTTCTTTTTCTGGGTGTTTTTCATAATATTCTAATGCATACATTACTATTCTTAGGTTATCTCTTATTTGTCTGTTGGGTAAGAAACCCGCTTGATCTTCAGATATTACCTCTTTCAGATGGTTTTTCACCCTTTCTGCTATAACTTTGGCAAAAATCTTATAATCATTATTCAAAAGCGAAATCGGTCTGTAATTCCTAACGTTAGTTGGGTCTTGTCCTTCTTTCGGTATCAGCGATATAATTAATTCTTTCCATGTCTCAGGTACTCTCTTGGTATCTCGTATTTCATTGGATAACATTTCCAGGACCGGAACTAATTCTTCTTTCAGTGTTTTATAAAACTTTGCAGTAAATCCATCCGGACCTGGTGCTTTACCCAGCTTTGTTTCCTCTATTGCTTTAATCAGTTCTTCTTTTTGAATACGACCATTCAATACATCCTTGACTTCGCCCCGTGGCTTCGGGTGTGAAATTGACCAATAGTATCGGGGCAAACGGCGGCGCAACATCGAGGCAGCTCTAGTGCGAAATCAGACTCTGTGAAAATGTGCCAGATAGGGAAATAACAATGCACCATCTTGAGAGATATGCTGGAACTGTACACCTGGAAGGGACCCCAGAATATTGAATCAAATGGCCCAGAGTATCCGACACTTGGTAGCTAGGAAACCATCATGACCGATACTTACTCTGCGGAAACCTGGGTGGATTGTCATTGACATCGGAGAGGGTAATGTTGACGGTGGTCGTCCCAGCTAATCCTCCCAGCTGTCCACCCATATCTTTGGCTTGGATGATCACTTCGTAATATTCTTTTGCTTCTCTGTCCATGTTCATTAGTGCTGTCCTAATTAAACCTATGGGAAAGTCAGGGGAAGGAAAAAACAAGGAAGCGAAAAGACACGTTAAGAATACACAAGGCAAGGAATGGTTAACTTCTATTTGTTTTTTCTTTGCAAGAATAAAACACATAAGGGTTTGTTTGTTTTTTTGGAAGAGAGGAACCCCTTTAAAAATGAAGACATACTTTACTTATACTAGTCTAGTTGCGAATGCTGACCTCTGGAGAGCTCAGCAGAATCACTTTCTTTGTTGAAGGAATCAATGTGAAGGGTTTGTTCACTTGGGAAGCATTCAATCAATACTTTTTATTCTAAAAGATGGAAGTGGCCCTAGTTTTCTTACTGAAATTTGAGTGGGAAAG